GCGTCGCCGGTTTACTTTTGACTCGTGTTTTATTAATAATATATAAGTCCATAAATTATATTTATAATTGGTGAATCTTAGACAGAAAGTTTAGTTTTATTAGTATGTTAATAGTTTAATTCGATTATAAACAAGTTTATAAACATTTTATAATCATAATTTCACCTAATATATATGTGCATTAGCATTTAATTCTTTATCTTAAAGAGAGAAATTTCCACTGATAGTTTTAATAATTGTTGTTTGTTATAAGAAATTAAATGTGACATATGTTTATTTTAATAAAATTCAAGAATATGAACATACACTGTAAAAACAATAAGTCTTTCTTTAAGGCGGTGTCAAAGTCGATTGGATTTTTGCATTGAGCTTCAATGGAAAAATCGCATCGACTTTGACACCGCCTTTAAGCTCGAAATTTGTCTTTTTTCAAGGTGTAAACGGAAGACTCCCCAATTGATACAAGTAAGGTGTTAAATAAACTGAAATTCAACTGTAAGCTTGTAAGAAGGCTGAAATTTAGCCTTCTTACTAGCTTACAGTTGAATTTCAGTTCATTTAACACCTCACTTGTATCAATTGGGGAGTATTCTTTTTAAACTTCTAATCATAACTGACATTCAGCCAATATGGTCTACTTCCGTTTACACCTTGAAAAAAGACAAATTTCGGGCTTAAAGGAAGACTTTGTTTTTACAGTGTTGTTAAAGTTCTTGCTAGATTTATCATCTAATTTCAAATAAAATAATTTCTTCCAGTATCACAATCTTTCAGTATCAAGTTGCTATAACTATCGATTTATAAGTAGATCTGCTGATTTTGTTCACCTTTAAGCTTTTTTTTATGTAATTCTACCGATTTGTTAAAAATCCACTGATGCTTTCTTGTGGGTTAGTGACAACCCTGTTTTTATAGTATAGAGTTGTGGGAGGATGTAGAAACAACGTTTCAGAATTGTTGAACAAAAAAATCTAGTGACCAAAACTTTAGTTTACATTTCCTGATCTCATTTCATCTTACTTTCGAAAGTATTGTAGTCGTACATGAAACAAAATCTCTGTTGTAGACGATTCATCCTGAAATATGGTGCACTGGAAGCACTAGAATTTCATACCGTGTATGCCACTATACAATTGCATTATTACACCCTCTTGCTGATTCACCTACATGCAGTATCAAATTTTTTTTTATAATTACATTAATTACGTTTATATATTTCATCGTTTTATTACATTATAATTACGATTACAATGATTTTGTTACAACAATTAATTAAATTAATTAAGTTTGTAATTAAATATTAAAATATGCATGTAATTATGCGGATAAGTTATGTGCAAATATGCTGATGCACAAATTATAAAAGTATGTTTATTATTTATAAACTGTTTATGACTTTCTTTATTTGCGTGTAGCTTAGAGGTTTGCTTCTTATTTTAAATTCTTTCAATTTTTTTTTGTTTTACAGGAACTAACGACGATGGAAACAGCTTTCTATCAATCATCCTATTCCAATTGATGATCAAATAGTACTTCCTAGGTATGTTATCTATCAAATTTATACATAATATTATTTTGTATATTTGTAAAATATGCTTACTGCAATAAATACAACTGAATTTGAGAATTGGTCAGGGAACTCTGGGAAAAGTCAGGTATTTCTATTAAAAGTAATGGAAAAAATTAAATTTTTAAAATTCATAAGAAAATTCAGAATTTTTGTTTTTTTCCTGTTTGCCTCATAAACTATGAAATCACCGCGAATTCTAATACAAAACTTCCAAAAATTTTAATATTTCTAAAAATAAATTCTTTTTAAATAACTTAATTCTTGTAGAACTATCATAAAATTATTACTCATAAATTATTTAATTAATAACTTTACTTCAATATTTCAAAATTAATTGAATTTTAAAAAAAGATACGTTTACAATTTTAATAAATGAATGAACGTTAAGGGGTTATATACAGTCAAGCGGTCGGAAAAATGCAGTTTTTCGGGATTTTTTTTTAAAAAGGAATATTTACTTATTAAAGTGAAAGTTTTCCTATAATGTTTTACATCTTTTAAAGATTAAAAAAATATATTTCATTTGTAAAAATATTATTTTTTTTGGCCTTTGTAGCTTATCTCCCAAAGATCCACGAAAAAAAAGTGCCCCGCGGTGAACAAGATAACAATTGATAGAATCATCTGAGATCAAAAAGTTAAATAGATTCTGTTAGTGTATGAGAAAATGTAGTCTTTGATCGTTGGAATTAAAAAAATATCACTTTTTGACAAAATGGTAGCCAAAGAAAAAAAAAGTTAATTTTTATGAAGAAAAAAATCGTCTTCAAATGTTGATTAAAATTCTAATTTTAATTTTATTCAAAAAACCAACGATCAAGGACAGCAAAAAGTAGTTGTTGAGCTTGTATGAAAATTAGAGCTAAATCGGTTCAGCGGTTTTTGAGAAATCGTGTTCACCGACTTGAAAAACATAGTTTTGAGAAAAGCGAGTTTAAAGACGCTGCACCTGCTCTACACCCCATGGCACGCCTTTCTAGTTTTGTCTGCAACTTCGAAAGTATTTTTCGAATCTTAATAAAAATTTTTTTCACAACAGGTAAATATATATACCTTAAGAAAATGCAAAAAAATCGATTTTTTGAAAATCGTGACTGTATATAACCCCTTAAAGACGCTGCACCTGCTCTACACCCCATGGCACGCCTTTCTAGTTTTGTCTGCAACTTCGAAAGTATTTTTCGAATCTTAATAAAAATTTTTTTCACAACAGGTAAATATATATACCTTAAGAAAATGCAAAAAAATCGATTTTTTGAAAATCGTGACTGTATATAACCCCTTAAAGACGCTGCACCTACTCTACACCCCGCGGCGCGCCTTTCTAGTTTTGTCTGCAACTTCGAAAATATTTCTAGAATCTTAATAAAATTTTTTTTCACAACAGGCAAATATATATATTTTAAGAAAATGCAAAAAAAAAAATAATTGATTTTTTGAAAATCGTGACTGTATATAACCCCTTAAAAGGTTTTACTTTGAAATTTTAAAATTAAAAGTTACAAATGATTGCAGGATTTCAATTATTTTCAGAAGTAATAAAATTCTTCGCAGAAACTCAATATTATGTTCAAAATTTTTTTTAAAATTGCCGTCAAAATTTCAATTATCTTTATAAATAATAAAATTCTTCTCTAAAATTCAATTATTTTCAAAAATAATAATAAAATTGTTAAGAGACAATATTTCTTCGGAGGAATTCAATTATTTACATAAAATTTTAATCAAAATTCTCCACAAAATCCAATCATTTTTAAAAATTGTAATAAAATTCTATGAAAGAATTCAATTCTTTTTAAAATTGTTCATAAAATTCTTTATAAAAGTTCAATTATTTTCAATACAACATTAATTAAATCTCTTAAAAGAATTTAATTTTTTTCAAGAATTTTAATATAATTCTTCGTAGAAATTCAATTATCTTCATAAATATCCAAATTCTTCGCAGAAATTCATTTATTGTCAATATCATTATAATAAAACTCTTCACAAGAATTCAATTATTGTCATAAATAAAAAATTCTTTTTAGAAATTCTATTACTTTCATAAACAATAAAATTTTTCTTAGGAATTCAATTATTTTCATACAAAAATAAAACTTAACGCAGAATTTCAAGTAGTTTTAATATATAATTTTAATCAAATTCCTCGAAAAATGTAATTATTTTAAACATATTATTAAAAATCGTCAAAAGAATTCAATTTTTTAAAAATTTGTTGATAAGAAATCAATTTTAAGAAACATTCAATAATTATTTAGTAAATTATTTATCTTTGTATTTCAATAATATTGAATTCTCGTCGTAGAATTTTCTAATAAAAATTGATTTAAAAGTGAATTTCAGTTAAAATGTTAGATAATAATTGAATATTAAAAATTAAATTAAAATCTGTATTTTCATAGGTAGGTACTTTTAACTAACAATTCTGTAGAATTAATTAAAAACAATTGATTTAAAGAAGAATTTTAGTTAAAAATTCTAGAAAATAATAATTGAATTGAAATGATAAAAATAATTTTGAAGAAGTTACAGTAACAATATTCTTATAATATACACTGAAAAAAAAATTTATTTGATTTAAATAACCGATTGACTATTATCAATTAAATATTTACTTGAATCAAATAATATTTATTGGAGTCAATAAATGGTATTTGAACCAATAATTTCAGTATTTGAAGCAAATACCATTTATTGACTCCAATAAATATTATTTGATTCAATTAGATATTTAATTGATAATAATCAATTAATTGGTTATTTGAATCAAATAATTTTTTTTCAGTGTAAAATAATGATTTCATTACTTGGTCATCTTTAATTATTATAAACATGAAGAAATTGATTACTCAGAGTCGAAGACTCGTAGTGATCGATACCGTCATGCTTCATAACAATATTCTTATAAGTTATTGAATTTCTAAAAGGTTTGAATTTGAATGTTTTGAAAATTTTGATTCCTTTGGAAAAATAATAATAATGAGTAAATATTTATTTAAAAATGATTGATAATTGTCAAATGATTTTGATGAGATTATGATCTTTTCCTTTATGAGTTTATACATCTTTAATTAAAAGATGGTAGATGTCTTGTTTAGTCTGATGGCTTTATGATTCCTTCTCGAGGCTAAAATTCAGTCAAAACGGTTCTATAATGTAAATGCTTTCAGTCAAAAGTGGACCAAAAGTAAAAATGACTTTTCCCAGTGTTGGTTACGTTTAATCACTATCACTTTATCAACTAGTAAAATTCCCACGTCCGACTTAGTGTAACACTGAGTTTTTTTTACACCGCACTACCGCAGTGTATATCAGAGTTTATCCGGTTCATTATAAGTATTTGCATTTAAAGTGAGGGGAACGAAATATCGTAGGTACGTACCTGACGTAGTACTATGTTGACTGCATAGCAGGGACATTCCAGTGTGTCAGTACCCTGCCGCGCCGGTGAACACGGGGCCTCATGAGTGAATTTGAGCTTTGAAAAAAGAGGGGAATTGGACCTTTGTGGGGAGCCTGTTGGACCTGGGCCTCTGCTATATACATACCTATTGGGCATAACTTCTCGCTTGCACAGGGCGTTTTCATACTCCCCCACTTTTTGGGCCATAAGTCAGTTCGACAGTTTGTCAGTGGCTCTCGTCGCGGTTCGTTATATTCCCTCTATGTGAAGTGTTGTGGACTTGGGTGTGGTGATCACTGTGAATTCTTACATGTGTATACACCATAGTTTATAAACCGGTTGGCTACAGTTTCCTTTTGTTTTTAACATCATTCTTCAAAATTAAAAATTACACATTCCTGTTCATTATCTTAAAGCTAATGTCACACACGATATTTTTCTTTTCAATTAAACTTTTCATTATTAGCCTTTAGATATGTTCACAATTTTCGGAATAAATTTTACTCTTTACCCATGAGAATACTACTACTAAAAATGAAAACAAGTTTTTGGGTTTTGTAACATTATTATTATTATTATTATTATCTAATCTAAATATTATGAAAGGAATTTTAAATGCTTTTTATTTCCCAATAGGGCATGTGTCAATTTGTTTGATGTCAAATACGGATTCAAATCTAAATTTTAATCAAAAATTGACCCACATTTTGAAGTATTTCAATTTTTCAAGGAATATTGTCAGTATTTTTTAATATTTGTAATTGTAAATACTGATTGTAATCAATCAAAGTAGCTAATAAAGTTGTTATTTATTTATTTTGTTAATGATCCACAACTTTCGGTTTTGGACGAACATCCGATTTTTACACTGGAATAAAAATTAGTAGTTGTTCATCAATTGAATAATAATTGCGGTAATAATTATTGCAATGGCTCTAATAACAATTGTAAATTTTTTCTCAATAGTAAATAATAATAATAAAAATAATAATGATAATTGTTGCAAATACTCAGTACTCGGTTGGAATTTTTGTGATTATTTTACAACTTGATTTCTAGAAAAGTGGCACGCATAATATGCGTCTGTGTTGAATGTCGGTTTTCACCTAAGGTGAAGGGAACTAGTGAATAGTGCAGTGAGAATCGATGGATTTAGAGTTTTAGAATTATTGAAGCCTATGAAGAGTTCGTGGAAGTTGAAAGCCTCTTTTACACTGGTGGGCTGTTGCTCTTGGATTTTCGACGCAAATTTATTAAGGGATTGCCTCTCTAGAACCAGACCTTTTTCTTTTTTCTCTCCTTTTTGGAAGGGAACGTTGTTATGGATGAAAGTTTTGTTTGCCGTCTCTCTCCACTCATGAATTGCAGAGAGAGAATCCTAATAAAGTGACCTAAATTTACCACATGAGAAGTTTTCATACAGTTTATGTGGAATTATTTTTTTTTGGGTTTTACGATACAACGTCTTGGAATTTTTTTGAGCCATGACCGTTTCTGAGGAGTAAGTCCCTTTATTTTGTATTTTTTGGGAATTTTTTACTATTTTAAGTTACTATTTTACTAATTCTCATTTTCTTCACAAATTTACTATATTATAGTGGAAACTTGATTATCCGAATTAATTTCGACAGAACCTTGTTCGGATTTTAGAAATTGCAAAAAAGTAAATTTACTACTTTTAAATTTTTTAATTTACTACTTTTTCTACGATTTGCTACTATTTTGGATACTCTTTTTTACTTGTTACACTAAAAGATACTTTTTTCCATGTTTGAGAATTTATACTACTTTAAATTTGTTAACAGTTGAAATAAAACAATTTTTGGATTTTAAATTTTAATAAAGTTACTGGAAAAAATTCAAAGAATTTTAATGAAATTCTTTAAAACGATTCAATGATTTTTAATAAAAAATTTCCCAAAAGAGTTGAATAATTTAAAAAAAATGTTTATAAAATTTTTCTCAAACATTCAATTATTTTCATAAATAAAAAAATTTTCACAGGAATTCAATTATTTAAAACACAATTTTCCTAACATTTTTCGAAAATAATCAATTATTTAAATAGATTTTCATAAAGTTTTTTGAAAAAAATCATTTCTTTAAAAAGATTTTTTTTAATTCTTCTCAAGAATGCAATTATTTTAAAAAATTTATTAAAGTTCGATGACAAAAATTTAATTATTTTCATAAATAATAAAACTCATCGCAGGATTTAAATTATTTTTTATATAATCTTAAATTAATTAAATTGCTTAAATCGCAATTATTCTTAAAAAAAATTAATAAAATTCTTCGAAAAAATTCAATTATTAAAAAAAAATTTGATAAAATTTGTTTTTTAGAGTGTAATCAGGGTGGCCACATGTCAGTAAAGTCAGGGAAATGTCAGGGAAAAAAATATTTTGTCAGTAAAGTCAGGGAAATGTCAGGAAAAAAATTTTTTGTCAGGGCAATTAAAGAAGAAGGGAAATGTCAGGAAAAATTTTTTTGTCAGGGCAATTAAAGAAGAAGGGAAATGTCAGGAAAAAAAATTTTTTGTCAGTAAAGTCAGGGAAATGTCAGGAAACATTTTTTTGTCAGGTCAATTAAACAAATTAAGACGGTCATGCAATACATTTTTTGCTCTAAACAAAAAAATTTTTGTCAGGGAAATTCGTTGTTATGTCAGTAAAATGTCAGGGAAATTGATAAAGTCAATCTTGCGGCCACCCTGGTTATAATTATTTTCAATTCATTTTTAATTGCATTTCTTCGTAAAAATTCAATTATTTTAAAAAATGTTGTTAAATTCTTTATAAGAATTAGAAATTTAAGAAATGTTCAATTTCAATAAATTATTAATTTTTTTATTTGAATAATTTCATTTTCAAAAAGAACTTTCTAATAAGAATTGATTTAGAATTGAATAAAATAAAGCAATTAAAGTTTTGAATAATTTTATTTATAAAATTTCAACAAAAAAATGATTGAATTTTAAAAGAATTACTTTTGCAATTTTTGGAAATAGTTAAATTTTAAAAATACGTTACATTGAAATCATTTAAAATATTTTAATTCCTATATAGACAAAATAAATAGATATTTAAATATTTATTTTAAAAAACTATTATATTTTTTAATGTAATTAAGAAATTTAAAAAAAATTGAGTCGTCAAGTTTAATTTTTCGATAGCTACTTTTTTACTACTTTTTTTTACTACTTTTTTCTGACTTTAAGCTACTTTTTGCTAATTTTTTTAAATTAATAATCGAATACGAAGCCTGTAATTATGATTATTTTGTAGTTATTTTACAGTACTACGTGGTATTTATGTCTGTTTTAGGTATTTCGATTAAAAATCAGAAAGTAGGTAGTCAAGAGAATTTCTTTATTTTTATGATATTTTTGTATCGATTGGTCTGCAAAATAAAATTTTGGGTTTAAGATGTCAAAAAATTTTGATAAGAAAGGTTCTAGATATTGAAGTTAAATATCAGAAGATGGCAATAGAAATTCTTTATTTTTATGAGATTTTTGAACCAATTTATGTAAAAAATGATATTTTGGGATAAGCAAGATTCCACTGTACTAAAATTTTTAAAGAATTAACTTGTTCTTAGAGAACAATATATAATTTGAATTTGAAGCCAAAATAATAAATATAATCTCATTGATTTTCGTTTTTAAAAATGTTGCAGACTTTAGCCACATAATTTCTGTTTTGATTCAGGAAAATCGGTTTAGGGATATTCGTTTATAAAGTACAATACTATTTATATGAAGTAAAATTTCTTGTATGTGAGAAAGACAAAATTAATTATTTTCTGTTCTACTTTCAAGAGGGGGCCACATTTCAATTTATCAGTAGCCATTTAGTACTAAATTCTAAATATATATATATATATATATATATATATATATGTTTCTGCATTAATGTCCTTATCATTTTTGAAGAAGAGTCTCTTGAAATATTTTTTATTTTCGGGTGCTTACAGTTTTTTGTGCGTGCTTGAGAAATAAAATTATAATAGGCGTTTTTACTATACTTTTATTTATTTATTTAACATATTAAATTATCTATTAAAAAATGAATAATTATATATTTATAAATAATTAATAGTAAAATAAAGAATCAAAAAATCTTCTTGAAAACAAAAATGTTATGTCTGCAAAAAATTTGACTATCTTTTACTATCATTTCCGGTAATTCGGAATTTGATTTATTTAATAGTTAAACTTTTCTCCTTGGTTTACTAAAAGCTTTTGCTAGTGGAATTTTTTTCTGTCATGTTGATATAAAACATTACGAGTTTTTTGAAAGATGATGAATTAGCGTTATACGACAAGTTACATAGTGACAGTTACAGAAAAAAAAATTGTTTCATAAATTCAATTCTTTTTTTATTTATTACTTTGAAACTTAATATTTTTTTGACAATTCATTTTCAAATAAATGTTAAATTACAATATCGTTCACTTCAGTTTATAGTAATTTTTGAAAATATCGAAACACAAAAAAATATTTCGTTTATTTAAATATTCAAAATACGAACATTTTAATGTTCCTAAAACAACAATACAATCTGTTGAGTGAGTTTTAGAAATTCGATTTGATTTTATAAATTTATATATTAATAATTTTTAACTCTGAATTGAGAGAGTATATTAATTTTTTTCAGAGTCTAATTTCAAATAAAATAACGCAGTTTGTAATTATGATATATAAGTGAATTGAGCATTATCTTATTAACAGAATAGGAATTCGCACTTGAAATATATAGTGATTGTATATAATTAGAGAAAAAAATATAATAATAATAAAAAACGGTTCGTGAAGTCATCGCAATATCAGGAGATAAAAATACATATATATGAATCTGGGCGTGTAAACTTTTTTCTTAGAAATTCTCCTCTGTTGTGGAATCATGAGTCATCACTTGAGTGTTAAACTCAAGACAACATTCATTCATTCATCCATCCATTTAGTGTCCTCATCTATAGTAGATGTAGTACACTAAATTGATGTATTATAAATCACTTTTGTAATCAATTAAGTTCTATTACAACAATATAAAGAGAAAGTGAATTATGATTAGGTACACTCTCTAAATCTGAATTATAGTTGTTTTTGACTAATTGTATGGAGAGTGTTGAATTGTTTTTCTATTAAATACTAAAGATCTGAACAATTTTCAGTGAAAAACTAACACAGTTTTCTTGAAAGTAGCAAATTGATAGCAAAAACTTGAATCAAATTAGGATTTAGTTTTCTACTACTTAGTTTAATTTCTATTAATTTAGTTAGTAGAAAATTACTAATTGAGATTTAGGGACTCTTTTCGACTTCTTTTTTACTTTTTTCCAAATATTGCAAGACTTTTTCGACTGTTTTTGTATCTTTAATAGACTAAAGCAATTTTTTTGCTCCTTAAGGTCGATCCGAGGCCTGGAAGTATATAGAGTATATATAGAAGTATTAAGTGTTTAAGTAAATGTAAATTGTACCTAATGAACATTCTTTAAAGAAAGAATTTTGTTTAATGGAATAAGTTATGTTCTCTGCGTAAATATTTCTGTAAATTTCTGAAATAAACAACTGTTGAGTGAATTTTAAAAATATTCGAGGTTGTTTTCTTCTCACAGAAAAAAGGTATTGTTATTTTAACACTAATAGTGGTTTAAAAAGTTGTTTTTTAATGAACAAGAAATTTTAGCTTAGCAGATTTACCAGTTGTTGTTTGGCAAATAGTTTTGATTATCAGATATTATTTAAAGCGGTAAATAAAAATAATAATATAGATTAAAAATATTTCAAGTGTTCTTAGCAGTATTTCTGAATTTTAACGTTGAGGCTAAAATTATCTCTATTAATAATAATTTATTCTGCAGTGACATGAAAAAAATGCTTTGATACAATTTTAATTTTCCCAATTTTTAAAATATTTTGTTTAATAAGTACAGGCCTTGTCATTTTCCAAAAAATGGAGCAAAACTGTAAAAAGAGGGTACTTTTGACATTTAAGGAGGATGGTGACACCTACATAACCTCAAAAGTAAAATATTCTCGAAATTGTTTGTACAACAAATAAAAATATAATTAAAATTAATTTTATCATACTTTGAATGATTTAGTTATAAAATGTTAAGAAAACATTTATATTGAGTTAAAATATTTTAACAAATAATAATTTTTTAACATTCAATATTTTTTCTTTCAGCTTTAGAGAAAAACTACAATTTTTATCCAAATTTAACGAACAATAGCTCATTTTACTCGTTGAAACATTATCTATAATCGTAATCTTTTTAATATTGTTGAAAATATTGTGTTTAAAAAATATAAACAATTTAAATATTATTTTTTAAACAATTTTTTAACAACGTATTTTCAACAACATTAAAAAGATTACGATTAAAGATAATGTTTCAACGAATAAAATAAGCTATTGTTCGTTAAATTTGGATAAAAATCGTAGTTTTTCTCTAAAGCTGAAAGAAAAAATATTGAATGTTAAAAA